GGAATTGTGGGTGTGGAATACATGCTGCATATAATATCAGACTTTTCTGATATGTCTTGCTAAAATTTTTCCTTTTTTTATTTTTATAAAGGATGGCTCTCTGGGATGAGAAGAGGAAATATTGGGAAATGTAGGTTTTGTAAAAACAAGACAGCAATAAAAATATTTAAAGAAAACAATTTTTTTTAAGCAACACCATAGCTGGTTGGTTTTCTCAAGGCCACTTAATCAGAGCTGCAAAGCAGAATTTAGCACCTGGGTGCACACCTTGGGCTGCTCACTCACCCTGATGTCTCTTCACTATATTTAGTCAGACTCAGTTTTACACCCAGTATGAAAGCCTCAGAATATTTTGTTTGTTTTTAGAAATAATCAGTGTGCTGATGTCTGCTTTGGTCAGCACTGACTCCACAAGTATAATTTTATCTTGAGTCCTTGAACCATTTTTAAAATAATCTTAAAAAAAATACCGGATGAGGATAAAAACATCACCACAAATAGCCAACCATCAAGCTGATAGGAAACAAAATGTTCTTGCCAGTATAGCACAGTGGGAAGAGGCCTCGGTTATCTGCCACACTAATCAAGCTGTATGACCTTGGGCAGATTTGACCTGTCTGGGTTTTGGCTTCCTCATTGTAAACGAGAGAGTCAGAGTAGATGACCTCTAAGATCCTAAGAACCTGTGATCTGATGTTCACTAAGAAAGGGATGAAAGACTCAGATTTAGACGTGGAAGGAACATTTGGGGTTAAAAGATTCAAATCATTATGTTATCAATAAGGAAAAAGAGGACCAGACGGAGATAACATGAGAAAGAGCCTGGATTTGAACACAGGCTTTCTGACTCCAGATCCTGCATTCTTTCTACTACGGCATGCCAAGAGGTGTTTGAGTAAGGGTCAGTTCACATACATAGTGGCTGTACATAGCATCTGCTTAATTCTTTCACCTATCAGCAAGTGTAAACTTTTTTAGTTGTGAAACTGGATTATCTGTGAATTCTTTGGGTAAGGAGGTATGATATGATATGATGTTACATTACATTACATCACATTATATATTGTCATGTCAGATTATATCATCATATCATATCAACAAGAATTTATTAAATACCTACTATGTGCCAGTCACTGTCCTTATCACTTTACAAATATTATCTCATTTGATCCTCACAATAACTCTGGGAAGTGGGTAATGTTATTATCCCCCTTTTATAGTTGTGAAGAAATTGAGACAGATAGAAGTTAAATGACTTGCCCGTGGTCACATAGCTACGAAGTGTCTGAGGCTGGATTTGAACTGAGGTCTTCCTGACTACAGGCCCAGAGTTCTCATCTACCAAGATTATGGATGACACATTCAAACACTATGGACACCAACTCTATTTACTGAGTAATTTTTTTTCTCTTCCTGATGAACAGGGATCAATAAACTCTCTTTTTGTAACCTGTATTTAGATTATCAATACCTCTTTCTTTGGACCTAGTGGGCTACCGCTTGGGTCCAGACTGTAAAGGGATGTGATTGGAAATCTAGATGTTCTCCAAGCTAATGAATAAAATGAAATTTCCCAGGCAAAGAGTACTCCTGGGGGATAGGAGATTGTACCATTCCCCAAGTGGTCTTTATGGATAGCAAATGACCTTATTGATATTTCAAGGTACATCATCTGTTCAGGATGAGTGAGGAGGACCAAAGAAACAGTTCTTCATTTCTGAGGAAAATGTTTTAGCAGCTGAGTTCTGGGAAAGGTCCCCAGAATTTCTGCTTATTTGTAAGAGAAATGATTTTATATGGCAAGAGAATATCCTACTGGGAATCTGGAGACCTGAGTTCTGGTTCTAGATTTGTAACTAGAAAGTTACTCCCCATCCCTGGGACTCAGTTTCTTCTTCTGTAAAAATGAGGGCAATGGAAAAGACACTTTATAAGATCTGTTCCAGCTCTAACATTCTATAACTGTAGGAATTTCATTTTCAGAAAAGCAGAGAAGAAATACTTCTGTTCTGTAGTAACAGTCCAGTCCTCTAAATTGACTTGATTTGTCTGCATGTAGGTTTAATTGTTCTTTTCTAGGCAAGCAAAGGCTCCTAATTATGTTTTTTTTCTTGCTCCCTGAAACCAGAAATTGTTGCTCATTATTATAGACAGGACAAATTGAAGATAATCAACAGAGGGAAGGCACCAATATTAAGGAAGATTCATAATATTTTCCTGCAGAAGGTGGGATTTTAGCTGAGGTCTGAAGGAAGTCTTGGAAGCCAAGAGGCGGAGATGAGGAAGGAGAGAGTCCCAGGCTTTGGGGGACAGCCAGTGAAGGTTCCCAGAGTCTGGAATTTAAAGTGTCTTGTTGGAGGATGGAAAGGAAGTTAATGTCCCTGGATCACAGAGGATATGGTGGGGAGGGTGAATGCAAGAAGACTGGAATGTAGGGTGGGGGACAGGTTATGAAGGTCTTCGAAAGCCTAACAGAAGATGTTGGTAGTAATTAATATAGAGCAGTGTGGTACACTGGAAGGGACACTGGGATCTAGGTTCAAATCCAACCTGTGACTTTGGACAAATCACTACTTCTTGCTAGGTCTGTTTCCTCATCTATAAAATGAAAGGATTGGATTAGATGGCCCATAAGGGCAGCTAGATGGTGCAGTGGATAGAATGCCAGGCTTGGAGTCAGGAAGACTCATCTTCCTGAGTTCAAATCTGGCTTCAGACACTTAATAGCTGTGTGACTCTGGACAAGTCAACTTAACCCTGTTTGCCTCAGTTGCCTCGTCTATAAAATGAGTTGGAGAAGGAAATGGTAAACTGCTCCTCATCTCTGCCAAGAAAACCCCAAAGAGGGTCACAAAAAGTCGGACACAGCTGAAAACAACTGAACAACAAGGTCCCTTCTAGCTATAGATCAAACCATAAAGATACTGCTTATTCAGTGAATGCATACCAGTAGCAGTCATCGAATTCCATCACCAGTGATCAGTGTCTGTATTTACCTGGTCCTGACATCTTCATGGCTTAATCATTGGATTTCCCAGTCCCTCCAAAAACAGCAGTCTGAATCCTAGCTGAGTTTATCTTCCCCATTTCGATGCTGATGAGTAAGTTCCATGAAACTTAACTATGAGGGATTCTTGATCAAAAGCTTAAACTAATATAGGATTTTTACCTTTGATAATATGAGGATGAAGCTTGATCTCATGGAAAGAGTGCTGTTTCTGGAGTCACTGGGCTCCCCAATGACTCAGGGAGAGGTCCTTCTCCTGGAGGGTGTGTGGCATGACTTTCACAATATGGTTAAAGCCTGTCACTGCTCTAGGAGAACACTGAACGTGAAGAATGACACAGCAACCTGGAGAGTCCAAACTTGATCTTTCTGGGCCTTGGAAACTTCCCTCACTCCTTTGCTTATAACCTACTTTTGTTGACATCTGTCTGTGGATCTCAGCAGGCCTCGTTTTCTCCAGTGGGCTTGCTGTTTCCTCCAGATCCCTCCAAATGCCAGTGTTCTCTGTTTTGCTGAGCCTGTTGAAGTGTGCCTGATGGTACCACCTTACAGGACATTTGGGATCATGCTCCCAGCCTGTCTCATTTTTTTTTTTTTAAACAGCAGAGTTTGTCATTTGCCCGTTTTATCCCCTCAAGGTCCAACTGCATAACATTCCTATCCTCAGCTTAGCGGTGCCCTGGATTCTTTGAACTGCGTTCCCCTGTGCAAAGCTTGCTTTGAAAGAGACTGCCATCTTTTAGCGTTAATGAACATTTGGGGAGCACTTGGCTGGGGATGGGCAATTTATATACAGTGCTTTAAAAGTTTTTTTTTTTAATATAGGAACAAAAATCCCTGTGCTTCTGCCAAGAATACTTACCAAGTCTCTCTGCAGCAGCTGGTGAGATAGATACGTACAGTCTGCTCACCCTATCTCCATAATGTGTATGTGTACATACACACACACACACATACACTATATATATAGGACTAAGTGTATGAATATATGTATATAGGCTCATATATGCCACTGCAAAATTCATTCTCTCGAAAAAAATACGTGCATGTGCAGAAACTGTTCTAGACAAAAGCGAAGAGAAAAATAAAGAGGTGGAAAAGACATAGGCCCTGCCCACAAGGAGCTTACAGTCTAATGCAATAAAGCAGGCTGTACAAAAATATGGCCCATGGGCCACTTGCTGCCTGCCAAAGGATTCCAGGCAGCATGCCAAAAATGTATACAATGTAAAAGAAAGTAAAGATGTAATGAGTGCTTTGTCGGTGCCCTGCTTAACATGCCTTCCGCTAGTCACTACTGTGTCCATCATGTAACATGGCCGGTGGGCTGCCACAGCATACTCTCTCCTATTTGTCATGTGACGCACGGCAACCAACCATGTCATTCTGTCTCTAGTCTGAGAGGAGCGAGAGTCTTATTACCTTTTTGTTGTGTTTTTGGTTGTTACTGGCATTGAATAGGGACAAAGTGAGTGCAGCAAAGTAAATTTTTTTTAAACATTAATGTGATTCCATGATAAAAAAAAATCTTAAGTAATAAGTGTAATTAATTAATATTAATTGAAATTTCCCTTTTCAAATATGGTTTATTTGCAAAATAGTCTGATCATTAATTATACCTTTACTTGCAAAGTGAGATGCTAAAAACCTATCTACAACGTGAAGAAGTTTAGCCTATTCTAATTTTGGCCCCTACTAAGTTGTGCAGGTCTGCAATAGGGTATCAGCAGAGATCAAAGGTCAAATGAAACTCTGCTAGCGGAATAGTACTGATCAATTCAACCACCTTCATCTTCACAGCAAAAAGAGATGCTTTTTTTCCCCTAACCAAATGTGATTAGAAATAACTAACTTAGAACCAAATTTCTAACAACATAGAATAGGTCTTTCACTGTACCTAGGCAAAAGGAAATATCCTTTCATCACTTCATCTTCTTTGTCATCTAAAGGGAATGGTACTTAACCCACAGGCTGTGGTTCATTTAGTACATACTGTTACAAGATTCTGCTCCATCACTTTCACTGCTGAGGAAGCACAGAAGTCATTTTTCTTCATCCAGCCATCCCAGAACTGCTTTCTCAAATGACTTCTATTCTGTAAATCAGAATTCCATACCAGATTCAAGCTGTTTTAAAACTCTTACCAAATCGTGGCCAATGGAAATACCTTCCCCACTGAACTCCGCTCTGCAGCATACCTTATTTTTATGTGTCTAACTCAGTGTGAGGTGCAATTAGAGATATAAGAGCAATATAAGACATAATCCCAAACCTCAAAATCAAAGTCTATATGGAGAGACAAGCTTAGCACATATGGAACCATTAGGTGCTAACCCACATGATGTTTGTTCAGTTGTTTTTTCAGTCATGTCTGACTCTTCACAACCCCACGTGAGGTTTTCTTGGCAAAGACACTGGAGTCGTTTGCCATTTCCTTCTCTAGCTCATTTTACAGATGAGGAAACTGAGGCAAACAGGGTTTAGTGACTTGCCCGGGGTCACACAGCTTGTAACTGTCTGAGACTCAGAAAGATTCCAAGCCCAGGGCTCTATTCACTGCATCTTGTGGCTGCCCCAACTTCGTTGCTAGATCTCATTATTTCAAGTATAAAAGAAAAGGCAAGGGGGTGAACAGAAAAGCATGGATTTGATCAGCCTGGTCACACAGCTGACTTCTTACAGAACACTAGAACAGCTGATGCAAACATTTACACTCTCTGGGGCCACTCAAGGATAAGCATCTGAAGACACAATCAACTAAAGTTTAAGGGGCTGGATTGTAGGTCTCTGTGTCCCCTGTGCAATGATTTTCCTAAGTTCTCAAAAAGCATTTGGTGACTGATTAAGTGATTTGGTACTGCCCTTTTTCTGCAATATTGGGTTACCTTTAACTCACTTTTCTTCCATGCTCAGTAAAAAAAAAAAATGCATTCTCTAACCTCCAAGGAGAAATACTGGGAAAATAAGAGACTATTTTCAGTAAGAGTCCCCATTTTGTTCAGAGGAAAATTAGGAGCAATGTATGGTTTAACTGATTCTGGCTTAACTCAAAATTTAAAGGCAAACCTATGTGGAGTGACTTTTTTTTTCTGTTTTGCACTTGGCATTGTAATTTTTTTTTTTTAACCACGATATCTCTAGCATGTCCCCTTCTTTCAGAGAACCCCAGGCATGTTGCTCACTTTACCCTCTATGGCCTGCTCTACCTTCCCACTAGGGGACTTGCCCTTGTGTGGCAACTCTTCTTCCCCTAAATCTTCATTTCGTAGAACTGCTGGCTTCCATTTAGATTCAGCTCAAGTACTATCTCCTGCAAAAGGTGTCCCTCCTCTTCTCCACCCCACCTGTGCCCCATACTGTGCTAATGCCTTCCCCTTTATGATTACTTAGCATAGAAAACAGATGGCTGGGCCTGAAGTCAGGAAGACCACAGTTCAAATCTGACCTCAGGTATTTACTAGCTGTGTGACCCCTGGAAAAATCACTGAAACCCTTTTTTGCCTCAGTTTCCTCAATGTAAAATACAGAAACAAAGAGCATCTGCCTCTCAGGGTTGTTGTAAAGATTAAAGGAGCACTTAACACAGTTCCTGGCACATAGTAGGTGCTTAATAAATACTTGTTTCTTTCTTATTTTTTATGTATCTAGTATTTATATATATGCATACTGTCTCCCCAGCCCTCCTGGAGGCAATGGAAGGTTTTTGCTTTTTCTCTGTCTCTTCTTAGCATAGTACCTGGTACATAGTAGGTGCTTAATAAATGACTGTTTCCTTCTTATTCTATATGTATCTGGTATGAATATATATGCAGACTGTCTCCCCAGACCTTGCTGAGGAAACACAAGGTTTTTGCCTTTTCTTTGTCTCTTCAATGCTTAGCATAGTGCCTGGCACATAGTAAGCACTTAAGTCAATCAAATGGCATTGCCATCTGGGCAATGCATGTTAGCAACAATCCTAAAGTTGGGCCTGCTCTTTGGTAGTGTAGTACGGTTGCAAAAACTCTGAACTTGTTGTCACAGGAAGCCTCTGATATTATCGCCTTAGCTAATTCTTTGTTACGTCTCCGAGCTCATGACTCCTCTTCTGTATGATGAGAGGGTCTGATGGAGTGATCTTTGCAAATCCCTTTTAGTCCTAATCCCATAATTCTTCAAAGTCAAGGTGAATAAATTACTTTCCAGGAGAAAAGAATTCAGTGGTAAGAAATGAATGAATTCTGCTGGAGCACCAAGATGCCACTGGGCAAATACCTAGTTTCAGAGAGTAACACTCTTGCCTTGAGTTAGAGAGAGTCACATGCAGGAGTAAACAAGATTCTGAGAAACCTGAAGTCCTCCTGTGTATTTTCACATTTTTGTTGGGATGAAGCTTATGGTAGAAGAAAGAACACTATATCTGGAGCCAGAAAAGTGGTTTTAAATAAAGGCTTTATATACGCTGACTAGCTGGGTGATCTTAGACAGGTCACTTAAGCTTGGTGATAATGCAGAGAAGAGTGATTTGGTGAATAGAGGACTGGCCTTAGAGTCAGAACATCTGTGTTCAAGTCACACCTCTGACACATAACTGGTTGTGTGACCCTGGACAAGTCACTTAACCTTGAAATGTTCTTGACAACTCTCTAAGATGGTAAGTTGCAGAGAAGGTACTGATCTGAAATGGCAAGAGTTTCCTCACCAGGCAGGTCCCTATAGAAGTAAAATCATGGTATTGCTAATCCACTACCAACCTTTCAGGTTCCTTTAAGGATTAAATCAGAAAATGTACAGGAAAGCAATTTGTAAACTATCAAATGAGACAAAATACAAGGTTTTGATATTGTTTCATGATTATATGTGAAATTTTTTTTTCCTTTTTTTTTTGCAAGGCAATGGAATGAAGTGACTTGCCCAGGGTCCCACAGCTAGTAAATGTCAAGTGTCTGAGGCTATATTTGAACTCAGGTCTTCCTGAATCCAGGGTCGGTGCTCTATCCACTGCACCACTTAGCTGCCCCTTATATGTGAAATTTTAAGTGAGTGATATGCTGTCATGAAAGCTTTGGCCTTTATGATTAAATTATTCCAGCTACAAGCAAAATAAGGAGGATTAAGATGAAGAGGGGAAGCTGAGGCAAAGGAACCAGAAGAAACCAATTAACTTTAAATGGCTTTCTTGATTTCTTTATGATCTTTACTTTCTTTTCCCCTTCATGGCATCTTTTTTTTTTTGGCTAGGCAACAGGGTTAAGTGACTTGCCCAGAATTATGCAGCTAATAAGTGTTATGTGTCTGAGGCTGGATCTGAGCTCAGGTCCTCCTGAATCCAGGGCCAGTGTTCCATCCACTGCACCACCTAACTGCTCCTCCCCTTCAAACTTACATAATAACCTGGGCGACATCAGAGCATTTGTTCGGACAAATGGAAAGGGGTACAATTTTGATAGAGCTTTCATAGAAATCTATCTTATACTCATAACTAGGAAACCTCGGAAACTTCAATGTCTTTCTCAATGTACTTCCCTCAAAGGGCTTCCTCTCCCCTGTGAGCGCTCAGACTAACAAGAACATTAAACATTAAAATATTTTATTCACAGAACAACAAAAAAAGGAGAGAACTAGCACCTAAGGCAATAGACAATTATGAAAAATTCTCCATCTCCCAAAGAGATCTTCTGCTACAGCCCTGTGTGGTTTGATGTTGCTAAATTCTCATCTTATAGCTCGATTAACCACCAATAATCCATGTTTAATCTGGTGGGTAGAATTGACTCAGGGATGCAAAATTGCTTCTGCTGATTCTCTGAAGGAACTACTCTGGTACTTACCTACATTTACTATCCCTGCTTATATTTATTTTTCTGTGTTATAGGCCCTTCCTATTTTTTTTTTTTTTTGGTGCCATGAATCAGATTGCATCCTTGGGATTCCCATGGTTTTTCGATTCACCATGCCCTAAGAATAGGTCACCTGGGTCACTGGTTGGTTCCCCCTGGCCAGTAAGACATGTTGGACCTATGATTAGCTAGGATGGCTATCTCTGGATGGAACCATCTAATTTAATCCTTATCAGAGTATTAGAATATATAACATATGGCTTGTCTGTAACCAAAATGGAGGTCTACATACACAACTGAAAAACTACAATAACAGCCACTTCGAGGCTAAGAACTTCACATTTAAAGATGAGATACTGGCATCTAGCCCTTGATTGGCAAATGCAATAGGTTTCTGCCAATCAGCCATCCTTGCATGAGGGAAGAGAAGGAAGTAAGGAAGGAAAGAAGGAAGGAAAGAAGGAAGGAAGGAAGGAAGGAAGGAAGGAAGGAAGGAAGGAAGGAAGGAAGGAAGGAAGGAAGGAAGGAAGGAAGGAAGGAAAGAAGGAAGGAAGGAAGGAAGGAAGGAAGGAAGGAAGGAAGGAAGGAAGGAAAGAAGGAAGGAAAGAAGGAAAGAAGGAAGGAAGGAAGGGAGAGAGGAAGGGAGGGAGGGATCTTACTTGACTTTTCCTGGCTTACGCTTGATATACTTAGATCTTATGCATTGACCATAGCCTCCCTTTTTTACTGAACCAAGGGCTTCATGCATATTTAAAAAAAAATCTTATCTGGAGGAGAAAAAAACACACACTTAGCAAAAATCATTTTATCAGGCATAAAAGGACATGAACATGAAAGCCATTTTAAATGCCACAGTTCTCATTTAGCCACTGTCCCTCAAAAAAGCTTCAAAACAAAGAAAGGAAATAGATTTCTCACCTCATCAACAGTCCAACTGGCTACTTCACTTGCCTGGATATCAGCCACGCCTGGAAGAAGCTTGCAGTGCTGTTCCCTGCACAGTGGAAGGTCTCGGGAGGGGTGGCTTGACATGGCAGACAGGAAAACTGACTGGTGGAGGGCCAGTTGTGTATTTTCAGTAGAGTATTCTGGGGGGCGAAAAAGTAGTGCTTTATGGAACCACTTTATTCAACCTAACTTAACAAATCTTAATAATCCCAATTTACAGCATTTACCATGTGGTAGGCACTGTGCTAAGTGCTTTAGAATTATTATCTCATTTGATCTTCACAACAACCCTGGGAGGTAGGTGTTATGATAAGTTCCATTTTATAGACAAAAAAAAATGAGGCATGAAGAGGTTAAGTGACATCTCTGGGGTCACACAGCTAGGAAGTGTCTGAGGCCACACTTGAACTCAGGTTTTCCTGACTCTAGGTCCAGCGTTCTATCCACTGAGTCACCCAGCTGCCCACTGTCTACAGAGTTCATTGTGCTATGTGCAGTGGAAGAGAACAATGTTTAGAAGAGCAAGGTCCATGCATTCTTGGAGCGTATAGTTCAGGCCAAATCTGCTATGATGAATGGCTATTATATTTAATCATGTCATTATAATGAATAATAATCATGTTACTACAATGAATAATAATCGTAATAACAATCCTCCAATAAGGTGCTTGGAAGTGATCCTGGGCTTTCAGAAGCTATTGTCACCTGTGTGTCCCTGGACTATGGGCTCTAGCAGGAGCAAGTACAGGCCACGCATCACAGTGACTGTATATTGTTTGTAAGTCAGCTTCATTAGGATTGGGCAGGAACACCACCAGAAGAAGCTGGTCCTCAGGAGAAGATTTTTAGCTACAGTAATCATCAAACAGTCTGTTCTGGTACAGAGGATCTGAGATCTAAATATGTAGATCCTCTTCTTTTCCTCAATAGAGCTTAAAAAAACACGTTTTTGTTCTCTGTACCTCTCCTCTGATGACTATTGCTGTACACTGTAGTTCTTCTGACATCTCAGAATCTCAGAAGACATTCATTTCAACCCTTACCTGGATGATGTTGATGATGATGATGATGATGATGATAATAATAATAATAATAATAACTAGCATTTATAACTCATTGAACCTCATGACAACCCTATGAAGTAGGGTCTTGCAGAATGTGAACTCTGGCCTTCCTGATCCCTAGTCATTTACTCTACAAACAGTACCAAAGATCATCTAGTCTTTGCTTAAAGCTGTCCAGTGAGGGGGAATCTCCTTCTACCTCCTCCTGCCCATTCCATCTTTGGATAGTTCTAGTTGTTAGGAAGACTTTGCTTAGAGCAAGTCTACGTTTCCCTCTTCATAATTTCCACTCATTGCTCCCTGTTCTGCCCTCCAAGGCAAAGTCACTATTTATCCTGCATTTTCAAAGAAGAGCAGGGACACCACGGGGTGATGTCTTGATTCATGGGTGAATCAGATTTAAGTGAAACAGAGTTGGACAAAGTTGGTCAGCCTCACTCTCTCTTTCATAGCCATCAAAGTCCAGTGGCAGGAAAAAAGTCAAGATGACTGGCAATGACTTGGGATGCAGTAGATGACCTTGGTATTCTCTATGTCTGACCAAGCTCTAAGGGCTTCAGCCACCTTGGAACAAAATGTTCTCATTCGCCCATTTTACCAGGTGAAGTTTGGGGTGGACACCAAAGGGCCTGAGGCCCAGCAGTTATCTTCAATCTGGTTTAGCCCATCTGCCAAGATGGTTTACTGGGGTATGGCCACAGTGCATGCTACAGCTTCCTGGAGTTGCAGGTGAGAACCAGGTCACAGGTGGACATCAAAGGTAGGTGAGCAGCCCTGAAAAGAGCTTGGCAAGCCCTCACCAGAGGTGTTGGTCCTCTCTGAACAGCCCATATACCAAGGCCATGCAGAAGAGAGCTAATCTCTCTTCCATATTACAACATTTCAAATACCTGAATATAGTAATGTCACCACTAATTCCTGTCTTCTCCAGACTAAATATCCCCAGGTTCCTTCCTGTAATCCTCATACAACACAATCTCAAAGCCCTTTATCAGCCTAACTGTCCTTTGAATACTATGTGATGTCCCTTTAAAAATGTGAACTGAAAACACTACAATTTTCAGACACAGTCTGACCAGAGCAGAATATTGTAAGAATATCACTTTTCTAGAACTGGACACCTATGCCTGTCTGAATGGAATCTATGATTTCCTTCTTTTTAAGTTTTATTGTTGTGTATTGTTCTTATGTTACAAACATTTGCAGATTACTCCCACATTTGTAACAAAGCAAAATAATAATACATGACCTTCTGAAAGAGCATACAACATTTTATATCTGTAGCACTGCTCCACCCCCAGATCTCTCTCTTTTTTTAATGAACAGAAATCTCTTTCCTCTTCCTCCACTCTCCATGATATTGGGGGGAAAAAAAAGAAGAGAAAAACAAAATTATTATAACAAATAGGCATAGTTAAGCAAAACACATTTCCTCAATGGTTATATAAAAATACATACATACACACATACATACACATACATATACACGTACATGTACACAATCATACATAACTCTGCACCCTAAACTAATCATCTCTTTGTCGTGGAGAATGTGTTTCACGCTCTGGAATACTCGGTCATGTCCTCTGGAATCATGAATTGTCATTGTACTGACGATAGTTCTTACAATTTTTAAAGTTGTTTGCTTTTACAGTGTTATTATTGTATAAATACAAGCAGAACTCCCAGCTCTGCTCATTTCACTCTTTATCAGTTTACAAACATCCTCAAGAGGATTCATTTTTATAATACTGATGTTATAGTATGAATGGTTCTCCTGGTTCTGCTCCTTTTGCTCTGCATCAATTCATACTAGTCTTTTTACAGCTCTTTGAAATCATGTATTTCCTTGCTCCTTACAGCACAATAATACTCCACTTTCACATATCACAACATTCTTCAATAGAGAGAAATCCCCTTAGCTTCCATTTTTTCTTATCACCACAAATAGAGCTGCAATATTTCTGCACATACAGGATCTTTTCCTCTTTCTTTGATCTCTCTGATATAGCCTAAGAGTTCATTAGTTTTCTAGACTATCTTATTACATTGGTGATTCATACTGAGCTTGAAGCCTACTAAAACCCTAGATCTTATTTTCACATGAACTGCTGCCTGGCCAATCTTCTATATCCTTGTACTTATGAATTTTTTTAAAAAGTTAAATGTAAGACTACATATTTCTCAAATTTCCCCTTATTAGAATTAATAATAAAGGTTTAGGCAACTTTATTCTCTTTTCCCTGTGTTACACTCTCCTAATAACAGAATTCCCTTCTGCCTCTTCATGTGGTCTTTCTTCATTTTTACAGTGAAGTCGTTTCTTGAGTTTGAAGGGAATGCTTTGTTACTAGTGTGAAGGCATTTCTCTCTCATACCATCATGGTGGGCCTGATGCTGAAGTAATAAAAAAAAGTCTGACATTTATATAAAGCTTTAAGGTTTACAAATATGGTTTCATTTGATCCTCAAAACAGTACCATGGTATAGGTAGTATAAATATTAGTATAGTAATTTCACAGATAAGAAAACTCTGAGAGATTAGATGGCCCCCCAACTTCACATGGTAAATGGCAGAGCCAGAATTCAAGCCTGGGTATTCTGATTCTAAGTCTTGTTTTATTTTCACTGTATTATGCTGCTTTCAAATCATTACAAATTCTCACACATATACAAATACAAAAATAATCATAATATAAAATAACATGTACATTACAGAGGTTCCAAACAAAGTGCTATGTGGGAGACATGGGGAAAAGACAGCATTATAAGACCATAGGGTATAGGCCTAATAGGAACTTGAAAGATCATCTAATCCAACCCTCACAAACTTTCTAGATGAGGAAACAGGCTGAAAGGATTAAGCTTGCTGGGGATAATAGCAGAAACTCAGACACACCAGGGATTTTCAATGGATTAGTCAAAGGCAATTGATAAGCAGCATTAACTAATTGTCAAGAAGGAAGACATCTTATCCTAGCTAACTGGCATTCATTGATCTGCTGGAAATTCTACTTTTGAAGAGTTGGATCAGTAAAGATAGCTGGGTCTGAGGATGCCAAGTTGGATAAATGGGATTAGAGAGAAAGAAAGATGGTTTTACAGGTATCATAAGGGTAGAAAGGGAATTTTAAAACCTTACAAAATGGGGGACTTTCCACACGCAGGGAGGTTTGTGCATAGACTAATGGTTAATTATGAAGGCTCAGGGGAGAAAAGATTAAATGATGGTGAATGAGCATGTCATAGGGCAAAGAAAAAGATGAGGGTATACTTGTTTGTGGTTAGGAATGGTGCTCAAGGTTATCTGCATCCTTACAGAGATGACTAATGTTGAGTTGGGCATGGACTTTGTGTCACCTCATTCTGTCAATAAATGATAAATGAAGCTGTGTCAAATGCTTGCACTGTGAGGTACCCAAGTTATTCTGAATCCTTGCCCCTCCCCAACCCCCAAGAGCAGATAGATCTAATAAAGTGATTTGTCCAAAGGCACATAGACAGTAAAAGAAGAATCAAGGTAGGATCAAGGGAAGCTTCCTAAAGGAAGGATGATTTATGTGTGGCTCTGAAGGATGGATAAGGAATTCAGCGTGTATGTGTGTGTGTGTGTGAGAGAGAGAGAGAGAGAGACAGACAGACAGACAGACAAAGGTGGTAGATCATTCTAGCATAGGCAATAATGTTAACAAAAGCATGGGAGGTAGGAAAGTACAGTGCATGCATGAAGAATGGAAAGTAGTTCCATAACATATGTGGATAAGGCTATTAAGGCAGGTTAAGTCTATGTTATGGAAGGGTCTTTAAACTGCTAAGTAAAGTTAAAGCAAAAGAACTTTAGTAGTGAATATGAGTCAGTCAAGCATTGATTAAATTCCTACTATGGGCCAGGCCCTGTGCTAAGAGTTACAGATACCAAAAAAGGTAAAAGACAGTACTTGCTCCCAAGGAACTCACAGTCTAATGAGAGATAAAACATATAAACAATTCTGTATAAACAAGAAATAGACACACACACACACATATTGATTATTTACAGATTATCTTGTGTGTGTGGTAGGTTTCTTGCAAAAGGT